TGAAGGTGATCTGAAGAGGATAAATAATTTAAAGAAATGTTCAAAAATACGAGGTGGTTGACAGGTGTGGGCGCCGCCATGTTGCGCAGATACCCCCGCCCTCTAGCGCAAAAAGCATTCAAGACGGCGGCATCCCCACCTCGGATTTTCAAACATTTTTAAAAATTGTTTATCTTCCTCAGATGACCCTCAACTCGCTTCCTCCGGTTTCTAGAAAATAAACAAATTTTTTAAGCCATCTTTTAGATTTCTCGGCCCTCTTGTGGCTGAGAATTCATGGCGCAAAGTTTTCCCCGCATTTCAGTATTTTTATTGCCAAGGCTTATTAATTCCAGTTCCTATATTCCTTGGAAATTGACTCACAATCAGCGTCTGAAATCGAAAATCTTCATGGCTGTCCATAAATTTAATAAGGACGGCTCTAAGACGCTTCGGGAATGGAAAAAAATGCGCCGTGAATTCTCAATCAAAAGGGGATGAAAAAATCTGAAGGATAGCTTGAAAAATTTCTGCTTTCTCCAGAAAAGGATGAAAGGAGTTGACGTGATCTGAAGAGGATGAATAATTTTAAGAAACGATCAAAAATACGAGGTGATTGGCAGATGTGGATGCCGCCATCTTGCGTGGATACCCCCTCCCTCTGCCGCTAGAAGCTTTAAAGATGGCGGCGTCCCCACCTCGAATTTTCAAAATTTTTTTGAAACTATATATCTTCTTCAAATGACCCTCAACTCGCTTCCTCCCATTTCTATAAAACGGACAAATTTTTTAAGCCATCTTTCCGATTTTGCTTGATTTGACTTTTGATTTCAGTCCCTTTCGACTGAGAACTCCTGACCTCAGGTTTTCTCCATATTTCAGTATTTTTTTTCAATGCTTTGAAAATGTATGAAACACCCCAGTTCCACAATTTTTCATTCACAAAATTTTCCCACTCCATTTATCAACCAGTCGAAAATTTCACGATTCTATTTCTCTCGATTTTATTTCTCTCGCTCTGTGGGGCACAGGAACCCCCCCCCCCCT